ATTAAAATGAAATTTATAAAAACGTGGTCATGAGTGGAGAAACTGGAGGAACGGAAATAAAAAAAAATTTTTTCGTTATCTCTTTTTTTTCCTCTGCGCTTTCCACCCCCCGCCCCCCGGTTTTCATCGTTTAAATCTCTCATTTTTAGGGGGGAGGGAGTGAGAGATTTTTAATACCTAAAAATTAAAAGGTAGGTAAAAAAAATTTATCAAAAAAAATTTTAGGAGTGAAATAATAATATTTATTTAAATGAAAAAAATCTGAAAATGATAAGTAATTAAATTAATTTTAGACTAGAAAATGAAGAGAGAGAGAGAGAGAGACAGAGAGGAGAGAAAAAAATGCTGTAAAAGACGAGAGAAAGAGAGAGAGAGAGAGAATGCGTAAGAACTAAAGAAAAAAAAATAAATAAATAAACACACCGTTTCCATTTCCATTTTTTTATTTTTTATTTGTGAGACAAACAAACAAACAGACAAGAAAGGAAGCTAATAAACAAACAAACGAACAAACAAACAAACTAACGAAAAAAACCAAAAAAAAAAAAACCGTTATGGAGGATGAAGATTAAGATTAAGGTTCAAAAGTTCATTTTAATTCGTTTTTTATTCTTCCTTTTTTTTTTTTAATAATCCTTTTTGCCCTTATATTTTCACAACCTTTTTTTTTATCTTTTTTTTTTGGTTTCTTCTTTCGTCTCCCTCCCCTCCCCGACAGTGCAACCAACAACGAAAAAAAAAAAAAAAATTGTTTAAATATTTATCATCGAAATTTTCAGATAAAAACAGAGAGGAAAACCCAAAAATGTAAGTAAAACGTAACGTTTCGAGATAATAATAATAATGATAAGTGAAACCGCAAAAGGAAAATCGTCGTACATGGAAGACGTGGCAGTAGTGTGACAATTTCCCGGATTTACCGGGGACGTAACCGATGGTGAATTCGGGAATTCTTTCGTTCTAGAAAAATCCGTTTCGAATTTTAAATGGGATACGAAACGGAAGAAAAAAAACGACGACGAATATGAGTGATAATGATAATAATGATGATGATGATAATAATAATAATAATAATTTTATTTAAAACTTTCAAATGTTGAACCTATCCCGTTATGAAATTTTTTCTTTTACATTAACGAGAAAATTACGTAATTTTTTTTTTTTCCAAAAGGCTTTATCCGTTCAATCAAATAAATTTAAATAATAATAATAATAATAATAATAATAATAATAATAATAATAATAATAATAATAATAATAATAATAATAATAATAATAATAATAATAATATTGATAATAATAATAATATTTTTTTTTCAAATTTTTTCCACCTGGAACATCTCAATAATAATGACGTAAATTATTTATTTCTATAAAAACGGAAAATTTCGTTTGGCGGTTATTTAGATTTTGCAAGAGGAAATAATTTAATCCCGATTTTCCAGAATTTTCCCGGCCAATCACGTTAAGTATTTTTGGAAGATTTTTTTTTTATCAGAAATAAAATTTAACGTGGAAATTTCGAATGAAATTTTCCACATTTTAATTTTTTTTTTTTCTCATTTTAAAATCGTGGTGGAAATTTCTAGAATGATTTTCGTCATTTTATTAACAATTATTACGTGAATAAAAATAAAAAATAAAAAATTTTTAACTGAAACCTGATATCGAACACGTTCGCGAACGTCGCGTTAAAATAAAAAATAAAAAATTTTTTATTCGAGTTTGGAATTATCAATGCTTTATTGCTTTATTGCAACTTAAAAGAACCGAAGAGGGCGGATGATAAAAAGGAAAAAAAAAAGAGATACGAAACCGAAACGCGTCAAAAATTTAAAAAAAAAAGATAGAGACTGATAATAAAAAAGAGAAAAAGCAAGAGAGAGAAAGAAAAAATGAAAAAAGGGAAGAGGTAATATGAGATAGTGAAAGAAACAGAAGAAGAGACAGAGAAAAAGAGAAAGGAAGAAATCGTGAAAATAATAGGAGGAAGAAAAGTGAGTTAGAAAAAGAGAGCGTGAAAAAAATTGACGTAAAGAAAGAGAGAGAAAGAATGGCAGTAAAAAAGGTAGAATGAGAAAAAGAAAGGTTGAAAAAGAAAACGAAAAAGGCAAAAAAGGTGGAGAGTGACAGACGAAAAATAAAGGAAAAAAAAGGGAGAGAGAAAAGGGAGAGACAGTCAAAATAAGAGGACGAAAAAAAGTGAGAGTGTGAAAATATGATGGAAATAAAGACAGAGTGAGAGAGAAACAAAAGAGAGGAAAAAAGAGTGAAAGAAATGAAGGGCTAGAATGACACAGTGAAAGAGACAGAGAGAGAGGCAGAGAGAGTGAAAGAGAGAGAGAGAAAAAGAGAGACAGAAAGAGAGAGACAGAGAGAGAGAACAAAGAAAGATAAAAGAAAGGGAAAGAACGACTGAATAAGGTATAAGGAGGAAAAAAAAAGATTGAAAGAGAGGACGAATGAGGCAAAAGATAGAGAGAGACAGAAGGAGAACGAAGAGACAAAGAGAAAGAGAGAGAGAAGAAGGAAAGACAGTAAAAATGTCAGAAAGAAAAAGAGAATGACAGTACTAGAATGAAGGAAAAAAACAAAGACAAAAACAAAAACAAAGAGAAAGAGAGAGAGAAACCAAACATAAAAATGTGAAACCAAAAAAACAAAAAAAAAGAAATTTTTTTTTTTAAATTAAATAATTTTTTCTTTTTTGTTCTCGGTTAAAAAAAAAAAAGGGAGAAGGAAAAGGGGGAAAAAAAATTTAAATTTCAAACTTTAAAAAAATAAAAAAAAAGGTTTTATATGAATTAAAAAATATTAATTCAAAAAAAAAAAGAGAAGTTTATAAAAAAAAAAGGTTTTAAATAAAAAAGGTTTAAAAAAAGAGAAAAGAAAAGGTTTGTTTCCTCTTAATAAAATTTTAAACAAAAAAAGCAGAAGTTAATTATTATTTTTATTAATTATAATAAATAATATAAATAAAATAAAAATCTTTTCATTGTGTTTAAAAATAATTTTTTAAAACGTCGAACGTTCTAGAAATAAATGCATTCAATCACTGAATAAATTAATAATAATAATAATAATAATAATAATAATAATAATAATAATAATAAAACTTAAATGATTGAATGAAAAATTTTACATTTTATGAGTTTAAAAAAAAAAAAATTGAATTTTCCCCTGCTTTTCTTTGTCCTCCCCTTTCTCCTCCTCCTCCTCCTTCTCTCTCCCCGCTGCTACCATTTTTCTTTCTTTTCTTTATTTAAACGCAAAAAAAAAAATTTTTTTTACCTTTTTTTTTTTTATTAAATGAAAAACATTTTAATATTTTTCATTTTGTCGCCATTTTTCTTTTCTTTGCGACAACGAATCAAAAAAAAAAATTATTTTTTTTATTATAAATAAATGGCAAAGCGAGGAAAAAAAATTTAAAAAAAAAAAATCACTTGTGATTATGTAATAATAATAATAATAATATTCGAAAAGGTCGTGGAAGGAGAAAAACGGATTAAAAACCCGGTGAAAAAAAAAAAAAAAAAAATTTTTTTTTTT